GGTCCTGCCTCAGTGCAGGGGACTGGATTAGGTGTCTTCTCAAGATCCCTTCCTGTCCTACATTGCTATGAATTTATGGTTCAGTGGGCTATAAGGAAGTTTCCACTGATTAGACCAGGCCAGAATTAGCAGCATGGAAGTGGGTGGTAAATTCCAGTTTTGTTTCTCAAAGTAATTTATAAAGCCCTCAATGGAAATCAACCAATTCAAAAAAATGGGTACTTGAGATTATCAGAGGAGGACATTCTGTAGAACTGATTCACTGTCCCAGGGACAAGTTTATCCTTTCCCCAAAGTTAAAATAAACCAACACTATCAACAACAAAAATACTTTGTAACATCAGAAGATGAAAGATGCAATAGTTTTTCCCTAACACATTAGAGCAATACCCTAGAGAGACAGATACTTTGGAAAGTCCACAAGATTTTTTTGTAATACAAAGAGAAATTATTGTTTTTCTAGGTTTCTGGTCTCTCAGTAAATCCACAAAGGAATTAATATTCCAGATGGAAATTCTGACATCCATTACTACAGCATTACTCCCATAAGATTTCAGAAAGTGAAGGTACACCTCCTGGAGGTCTGCTGAAGATAATATCATTAAGAAGTCATCAGGGATAACTTAGCTTCTGTTACAACAGGAAGCATTTTTCAGTGCACAGCACTAGTTTATCAGACTTTTATAAGTATTCATAGAGATCATGTCATCCCTCCATTCAAATAAAAGTGTATATTTCTTATCAGGTCTCCTTCATGGCTCAGTGCAACATAGAGCCTAGCAGCCATCACTACATGCCTTTGGGAACAGGTATTTGAGCGAATAGGGAAGAACCAGTCAGAGCCCTTACAAAACTTCAGCATCTTTGGATTGTTCTGGTCACTTCCAGCCTGACACTACAGTAAATCAGTAAATAAAAGATCTTGAGCCATAGCTGTACTAACCTTTCTTTGCAAATTCATCTGTATTATTCAGCAGCAGCTCTCTGTTTTTCGGTCCAGAGAAGCTGGTTGTTAGCAAGGATTCCAGAGTCCATGTAAGGGAGATACTTCAGGGCTCCTATGTGACTCAAGGGATGTGATAGAAGGAGGAGACATGAATTGAAATCCTGACTCCATTGAAGTCAATAGCAAAACTCCATATTGACTTCAGTAGAGCCAGGATTTCCCCATGGAGCACTCTTCCTCCTCCAGTGGAGGATTCTTTATAAACATGGTGTGTATAAACTGCAAGGAAGGCAGAAAAACTCGGGAAAGGTAGATCTGGTTATGGTCTGGGCAGAAGCTCTCATTCTATTCCTCAAGCTTCTGTGTATAAAAGGAAAAGTAAAGGCAGAGTCTACTGGCTCAGGATAATGCATTAGACCTAAGGGAATGTCATCTGGACCAGCCTCCCTTTCAGAGCATCACAAGTCAGGTTGAGATTAACCTATTTTCATCCAAATCCAGTTGGAAAATCAAAAATGGAAGAGTTATGTCAAGAGTTATGTCATTGGGCTATACAGCTGATGGTTCAATCCGATTAATACGGGACAGTGGAGTTAATCCCCTCAGTCTCATTGTTTCTGGCTCTCTGCAGATTCAGGCATACTTCATTACATCAGTTTACACTCTGTTTCTGTTGGAAGATTATTTCTGTAGCCATGACAAGTAGAAACTTATTTATAGTTTAAATTAAACCTGAGTTTCTGCACATTCGGATCGTCATGGTGGCCATGTAACTACATCATTTGAGCTGGATTTGGACCACAGGCCATATGTTTAATACCCCTATGCTGTAGATTCACTTCAGATGCAGTGTTTGGTAGAAAGATGTTGCAGAACATGGTACTCTAGTAATCTTTAAGTCAGTTTTCAATTTTCTATATGGTTAAATTAAATCCTACTTCCTCCTTAGGGATAATTTACTGTTTCCCATATTCCAAGAGGAAGACTGATATGGAGGGGACAGAGAAGTAAAAATTCTGTGTTATCTATGAATTTTCTTTCTAGGATCCTCCATGTCTTCTTGTCTGACCCTCACATGTCCAAATTTTTTCTGGTTATTGCTGCCTTGTTAAACAATTTGAAAGGAAGACTGTATTTCTTGAAAAAATCTTTAAATTTTGTGCGAAGGCTCTGCAGCAAAATATTTGAATTGAATGGCACATTTAAAATTTTACATAGTATCTTTCAGGTTTGTAAGCTAACAATCTAGAGAGTTCTTCCTTCAGGGTAATAGCAGACATTTGGGCTGCCTCCAGTGGCTGTGAGATGGGGAACCACCAACTGTGAAAACTGACATGCAGGATTCTAGAAAGAAAATCCACAGGTAAGACCAATTTTTTCCCAATTCTGAAATTCACTAATTCCAGCTTGACTGATCAACAATTTGCCAAGAAATCTGATGGTCCAGCTCCTCTTCCAGACAAACTTCAGCAGTATATATCTATAGTGGGATCTAAGTACTGTAGTTTCATTACATTTATGAGATATACTCTCATACACTGGGCCCCTTGTAGTCCTCTTTGGGGAAGCAGTAGCATCTTTTATGGAACTCCTGGGTTAAAGGGGAAAGCTACTCCCAATAAAGCTGTATATTTAGTGTCCTTGTAGAGATAACACAGAGCTTCTGGGAGAAGTATGCATCAGCTGGGTGATGCTCCTGTGGTTGCAGTTGGGGGCAGGTGACACTGAGTAGTGCTGCAGATGAAAAGTTTGTGGCAGCCAGAGGCTGAGCAGATAAGCAGCAGACCCTGGACAGATCAACGAGAGGGAGAGAGTGTGTGTGTGTGAAGGGGGGTGTATGGTACAGTTTGTCATGCAATATCTTTAATCTCTTTCCCATTTATTTCTTGTTAACTTGTAAAATTCAGCAATCCACAATGAGTCTCCTATTCATTAGTGAAAGTTATTCAGTTGAAAGACAATTTTTACTCTTTACCATTGTTAAAAAATCCAAACTAATTTAATTTAATTCTTTTTTTAAGTCAATGTCCAGAAGGATATACATGTATAAAAGCTGGTAGAAACCCAAACTATGGCTACACGAGTTTTGACACGTTCAGCTGGGCGTTCTTGTCACTGTTTCGACTGATGACTCAGGATTACTGGGAAAACCTTTATCAGCTGGTGAGAATGTAGTGAAAACTATGTTTTGATATGTTAATGGTCTAAAATGAATTATGACAGAAAGAATGGTCTTTACATTTCTTATTACATAATGGTGTATTAAAAATTAAGAAGCCCAATCATAAAATGATATTGGGGAACATTGTAGACTAATAGGATTTTCAAAGGGGGTACCTTTATCCCAAACTGGCAGGATCATACAGAATTGTGAAACATATGCTACAGGATTTGTCATGCTTTCTATAAAGCTACACAGAAGCTTTTCAGAGCCCATTTTCATGACTGTATCAGGTTTCATTTGACACAACATTGTTATTCGTTACCTTCAGAACTGCAATGCTGTGCTTAAGCAGTGAATAGTTGTTATAATTTCAAAAGGTGGTAGTCCACTCTTAAATACCTTGAGTCCTATTTTTGATAGCCACAAATTCATGGCTTTTTATGATGGTGATTCTTCTTACAGGAAGCTAGGATCTATTGTTTAGTTGATATTACTGATGGTGCTACTTTTAGGTATTCTGGCCAGTCGAAGGGGAAGATACAACTAATACTTTTTCAGTGCCTAAAAATCCCACGCACAAATGTCTTTTTAATTATTTACTTGGAATCTTCTCTCTGAGATTATTATTAAAATCTCATATCCCCCTCCCCATAATTAAAACAGGATTCCTAAATCACACCACCTTTCTCTCATACACACACTCACATTTTTCATTTATTTTCATTTTGATTTATAAAATAAATATTGTCATATTCAATATGAACAACTGTCTTTGATATAGATACATAATCATTTTCCTAATTCTCAAATTAATCAGTTTGTATCATTGCCCCCCTCTCCCCCCCCCCAGACTCTACGTGCTGCTGGCAAAACATACATGATATTTTTTGTTTTGGTGATTTTCCTGGGTTCTTTCTATCTGATTAACTTGATCCTGGCTGTTGTTGCCATGGCCTATGAAGAACAGAATCAAGCAACCCTAGAAGAAGCAAAGCAGAAGGAGACAGAATTTCAGCAAATGCTTGAACAGCTGAAAAAGCAACAAGAAGAAGCTCAGGTATCTGTATCCATACATTATTGTTCTTTTACCTAAAAATGTAACATTGCATACATAAATTAGTGAAACATAGTATATAATTTAGTGGAAACTAGGAAAACAATAAAGCTTCCACTTTTTTTAACCAATGTCAGATTTGTTGTGATAGTACATGTGAGATACACCTAAGAATGGGTCTATCATTGAAGAAATTTCTAAACTTTTAAGTGTTAATGGAGATTCAAAATGAGCAGTTGCGGTTGTTTGGGTGCCCTAAGTGTACATTTCCTATCTTACTGTGTTTGGATTTCTTTTTACAGTAATCTTAATTCTCGATTTCCTGAGTTTATACTACTTGATTTTGGGGTAATTACAACATCACTGTAATGTTTTTTGCCTTTAAATGACTATTTACTCTCAGCGTTTATTCCACTTTAAAGTGGATTTTTGTCCGGGAATGTACTTCTTAAAAAGTAATCTAAAATGTCATAGATGAACATAGTAAACAAGAAACTTTAAAGGTATTATACCATCCTATATGTCCAATGAATTAAGTATATGTAATATCAAACCTAAATCATTTTTTAAAACTTTTTAAGGACATCCACCAGTACACCAGAGCAGTGCAAAGAAACCAGAATCCACCAACCAGTTAAATTGGTTTACAGTTGCTTTGCATTTGAAGTGTATTGGTGAATCTGACCCTTAATTTGAAATGGACTTGTTGGTTTAGTAGGCTGTGTTAGTGAGACCAGTGCTGTGTGAAGTGTGTGTGGGGGGGGGAGAGGGAGCATGGTGGGAGGGAGGGCAAGGTGAGCCCATTCTCTGCGTCCAAAAGTCTCTGCTTTAAGAGCTCCCTCTATGAACTTGCCTCAGTTCCTCCAGCAGTGTTTCCTGAATGGATAGTGGAGCTAAGAAAGCAGTGTCCTGGGGACTCAAGCTAGTATGCAGTGACAGAAACGTTAATAATGACAGGTTTCAGAGTAGCAGCCGTGTTAGTCTCTATCTGCAAAATGAACAGGAGTACTTGTGGCACCTTAGCCCTGGTCTTCACTAGGACTTCAGGTCGAATTTAGCAGCATTAAATCGATGTAAACCTGCACCTGTCCACACGATGAAGCCCTTTATTTCGACTTAAAGGGCTCTTAAAATCGATTTCCTTACTCCACCCCTGACAAGTGGATTAGCACTTAAATCGGCCTTGCCAGGTCGAATTTGGGGTACTGTGGACACAATTCGACGGTATTGGCCTCCGGGAGCTATCCCAGAGTGCTCCATTGTGACCGCTCTGGACAGCACTCTCAACTCAGATGCACTGGCCAGGTAGACAGGAAAAGAACCGCGAACTTTTGAATCTCATTTCCTGTTTGGCCAGCGTGGCAAGCTGTAGATGACCATGCAGAGCTCATCAGCAGAGGTGACCATGATGGAGTCCCAGAATCGCAAAAGAGCTCCAGCATGGACCGAACGGGAGGTACGGGATCTGATCGCTGTGTGGGGAGAGGAATCCGTGCTATCAGAAATCCGTTGCAGTTTTCGAAATGCCAAAACCTTTGTGAAAATCTCCCAGGGCATGAAGGACAGAGGCCATAACAGGGACCCGAAGCAGTGCCACGTGAAACTGAAGGAGCTGAGGCAAGCCTACCAGAAAACCAGAGAGGCGAACGGCCGCTCCGGGTCAGAGCCCCAAACATGCCGCTTCTTTGATGAGCTGCATGCCATTTTAGGGGGTTCAGCCACCACTACCCCAGCCGTGTTGTTTGACTCCTTCAATGGAGATGGAGGCAATACGGAAGCAGGTTTTGGGGATGAAGAAGATGATGATGATGAGGTTGTAGATAGCTCACAGCAAACAAGCGGAGAAACCGGTTTTCCCGACAGCCAGGAACTGTTTCTCACCCTGGACCTGGAGCCAGTACCCCCCGAATCCACCCAAGCAGGACCCAGCAGGCGGAGAAGGGACCTCCGGTGAGTGTACCTTTTAAAATACTATACATGGTTTAAAAGCAAGCATGTGAAAGGATTACTTTGCCCTGGCATTCGCGGCTCTCCTGGATGTACTCCCAAAGCCTTTGCAAAAGGTTTCTGGGGAGGGCAGCCTTATTGCGTCCTTCATGGTAGGACACTTTACCACTCCAGGCGAGTAACACGTACTCGGGAATCATTGTACAACAAAGCATTCCAGTGTATGTTTGCTGGCATTCAAACAACATCCGTTCTTTATCTCTCTGTGTTATCCTCAGGAGAGTGAGATATCATTCATGGTCACCTGGTTGAAATAGAGTGCTTTTCTTCAGGGGACACTCAGAGGAGCCCACTCCTGCTGGGCTGTTTGCCTGTGGCTAAACAGAAATGTTCCCTGGTGTTAGCCACAGGGAGGGGAGAAGGTTGAGGGGGTAGCCACGCTGTGGGGGGAGGCAAAATGCGACCTTGTAATGAAGGCACATGTGCTATGTATGTAATGTTAACAGCAAGGTTTACTCTGAAAGAGTGTAGCCACTGTTTTATAAAATGTGTCTTTTTAAAGACCGCTGTCCCTTTTTTTTTCTCCACCAGCTGCATGTGTTTCAATGATCACAGGATCTTCTCCTTCCCAGAGGCTAGTGAAGCTTAGAAAGAAAAAAAAAAACGCACTCGAGATGAAATGTTCTCTGAGCTCATGCTGTCCTCCCACACTGACAGAGCACAGACGAATGCGTGGAGGCAAATAATGTCAGAGTGCAGGAAAGCACAAAATGACTGGGAGGAGAGGTGGCGGGCTGAAGAGAGTAAGTGGCGGGCTGAAGACAGGGCTGAAGCTCAAATGTGGCGGCAGCGTGATGAGAGGAGGCAGGATTCAATGCTGAGGCTGCTGGAGGACCAAACCAGTATGCTCCAGTGTATGGTTGAGCTGCAGCAAAGGCAGCTGGAGCACAGACTGCCACTCCTGCCCCTGTGTAACCAACCGCCCTCTTCCCCAAGTTCCATAGCCTCCACACCCAGACACCCAAGAAAGCGGTGGGGGGGCCACCGGCCAACCAGCCACTCCGCCACAGAGGATTGCCCAAAAAAAAGAAGGCTGGCATTCAATAAATTTTAAAGTTGTAAACTTTTAAAGTGCTGTGTGGCATTTTCCTTCCCTCCTCCACCACCCCTCCTGGGCTACCTTGGTAGTCATCCCCCTATTTATGTGACGAATGAATAAAGAATGCATGAATGTGAAGCAACAATGACTTTATTGCCTCTGCAAGTGGTGATTGAAGGGAGGAGGGGAGGGTGGTTAGCTTACAGGGAAGTAGAGTGAACCAAGGGGCGGGGGGTTTCATCAAGGAGAAACAAACAGAACTTTCACACCGTAGCCTGGCCAGTCATGAAACTGGTTTTCAAAGCTTCTCTGATGCATACCGCGCCCTCCTGTGCTCTTCTAACCGCCCTGGTGTCTGGCTGCGCGTAACCAGCAGCCAGGCGATTTGCCTCAACCTCCCACCCCGCCATAAACGTCTCCCCCTTACTCTCACAGATATTGTGGAGCACACAGCAAGCAGTAATAACAGTGGGAATATTGGTTTCGCTGAGGTCTAAGCGAGTCAGTAAACTGCGCCAGCGCGCCTTTAAACGTCCAAATGCACATTCTACCACCATTCTGCACTTGCTCAGCCTGTAGTTGAACAGCTCCTGACTACTGTCCAGGCTGCCTGTTTACGGCTTCATGAGCCATGGCATTAAGGGGTAGGCTGGGTCCCCAAGGATACATATAGGCATTTCAACATCCCCAACAGTTATTTTCTGGTCTGGGAATAAAGTCCCTTCCTGCAGCTTTTGAAACAGACCAGAGTTCCTGAAGATGTGAGCGTCATGTACCTTTCCCGGCGATCCCATGTTGATGTTGGTGAAACGTCCCTTGTGATCCACCAGAGCTTGCAGCACTATTGAAAAGTACCCTTTGCGGTTTATGTACTCGCTGGCTTGGTGCTCCGGTGCCAAGAGAGGGATATGGGTTCCGTCTATGGCCCCATCACAGTTAGGGAATCCCATTGCAGCAAAGCCATCCACTATGACCCGCACATTTCCCAGGGTCACTACCCTTGATATCAGCAGATCTTTGATTGTGTTGGCTACTTGCATCACAGCAGCCCCAACAGTAGATTTGCCCACTCCAAATTGATTCCCAACTGACCGGTAGCTGTCTGGCGTTGCAAGCTTCCACAGGGCTATCTCCACTCACTTCTCAACTGTGAGGGCTGCTCTCATCTTGGTGTTCATGCACCTCAGGGCAGGGGAAAGCAAGTCACAAAGTTCCATGAAAGTGCCCTTATGCATGCGAAAGTTTCGCAGCCACTGGGAATCGTCCCAGACCTGCAACACTATGCGGTCCCACCAGTCTGTGCTTGTTTCCCGAGCCCAGAATCACAGCATGAACCTGCCCCATTAGCACCATGATGCATGCATTGGCAGGGCCCATGCTTTCAGAGAAATCTGTGTCCATGTCCTGATCACTCACGTGACCACGCTGACGTCGCCTCCTCGCCCGGTATCGCTTTGCCAGGTTCTGGTGCTGCATATACCGCTGGATAATGCGTGTGGTGTTTAATGTGCTCCTAATTGCCAAAGTGAGCTGAGTGGCCTCCATGCTTGCCTTGGTATGGCGTCCGCACAGAAAAAAGGCGCGGAACGATTGTCTGCCGTTGCTCTGATGGAGGGAGGGGCGACTGACGACACGGCTTACAGGGTTGGTTTTAGGGAGCTAAAGTCAACAAAGGGGGTGGCTTTATATCAAGGAGTATTTCAGACAGGACTTCACGGAGGGTTCCAATAAGAAATGTTGCACCTAAGTTATTGTTCTTATTGGAACAAGGAGGTTAGCCTGGCCTCTGATTGATACATGGCTAGATTTACCTCGCTGCACCTTCTCTGTGAGTGACTGCAGTGTGACCTAGAGGAATGAGTCCCCTAGACAGGGGAGGAGACAAATGAGTACAAAACAAATCTGGTCTATTTCTTGTTTTGATCCACTCCATCTATCTTTTACATCTTTGGCTGGCAGCAGATGGTGCAGAAGGACTGCATGCCATCCACATCTCATGGCTGCTCGGCAGAAGATGGTACAGTACAACTGCTAGCCATCTTCATCTCTTGCCTGCCTGGCAGAAGATGGTACAGTACGACTGCTAGCAATCCGTATCGCCTGCCTGCTCACCATAAGATGGTTCAATAGGACTGACTGCAGGACTAAAGAGAATGACCTGGTCAAGTCACTCCAAATTTAGTCCCTGCGCCCATGTCTGCCCAGGCGCTCCCAGCCGACGTGGCCAGGAGCACCTCGGACACGACGAGAACGGCTACCAGTCGTACTGCACCATCTGCTGCCAGAAGGTAATGGGTTGCTGCTACTGTGTAGCAATGCCGTACCGCGTCTGCCAGCACCCAGGAGACATACGGTGACTGTTACCTGAGCGGGCTCCATGCTTGCCGTGGTATGGCGTCTGCACAGGTAACTCAGGAAAAAAGGCACGAAATGATTGTCTGCCCTTGCTTTCACGGAGGGAAGGAGGGAAAGGGGGCCTGACGATATGTACCCAGAACCACCCACGACAATGTTTTAGCCCCATCAGACACTGGGATCTCAACCTAGAATTCCAATGGGCAGCGGAGACTGCGGGAACTGTGGGATAGCTATCCACAGTGCAACGCTCCGGAAGTCGACTCTAGCCTCGGTACTGTGGAAGCACTCCACCGAGTTAATGCACTTAATGCACTTAGAGCATTTTCTGTGGGGAGACACACACTCGAATATATAAAACCGATTTCTAAAAAAACGACTTCTATAAATTTGACCTTATTCTGTAGTGTGGACATACCCTTAGAGACTAACAAATTTATTTGAGCATAAGCTTTCGTGGGCTACAGCCCACTTCATCGGATGCATGCTGTGGAAAACACAATAGGAAGATTTCATATACACAGAGAACATGAAACAATGGGTGTTTCTGTTACTTTCTTTGTTGGGCTTGTCCTGTAGTAGGTGACTTCAAGCATTCTTACAACTACAATACCCACCTGCTGAAGTGGAGAAACAGAATGACAGATCCAGAAGAGTACCCAGAAGTCACCTGCTTCAGGACAGGCCCAACGAAGAAAATAACAGAACGCCACTAGCCATCACCTTCAGCCCCCAACTAAAACCTCTCCAATGCATCATCAAGGATCTACAACCTATCCTGAAGGACGACCCATCACTCTCACAGATCTTGGGAGAGGCAGTGCTTGCTTACAGACAGCCCTCCATCCTGAAGCAAATACTCACCAGCAACCACACACCACACAACAAAACCACTAACCCAGGAACCTATCCTTGCAACAAAGTCCGTTGCCAACTGTGTCCACATATTTATTCAGGGGGCACCATCATAGGGTCTAATCACATCAGCCACACTATCAGAGGCTCGTTCACCTGCACATCTACCAATGTGATGTATGCCATCATGTGCCAGCAATGCCCCTCTGCCACGTACATTGGTCAAACTGGACAGTCTCTACGTAAAAGAATAAATGGACACAAATCAGACGTCAAGAATGATAACATTCAAAAACCAGTCGGAGAACACTTCAGTCTCTCTGGTCACTCGATTACAGACCTAAAAGTTGCAATATTACAACAAAAAAACTTCAAAACCAGACTCCAACGAGAGACTGCTGAATTGGAATTAATTTGCAAACTGGACACCATTAACTTAGGCTTGAATAAAGACTGGAAGTGGATGTGTCATTACACAAAGTAAAACTATTTCCCCATGTTTATTTCCCCCCCTACTGTTCTCACACGTTCTTGTCAACTGCTGGAAATGGCCCATCTTGATTATCACTACAAAAGGTTGGGGAGTTTTTGTTTTTGTTTTTCTCCCTCTCCTGCTGGTAATAGCTCACCTTAATTGATCATTCTCATTATAGTGTGTATGCTAACACCCATTGTTTCATGTTCTCTGTGTATATAAAATCTTCCTACCGTATTTTCCACAGCATGCATCTGATGAAGTGGGCTGTAGCCCGCGAAAGCTTATGCTCAAATAAATTTTAGTCTCTAAGTTGCCCCAAGTACTCCTGTTCTTTTTGAGAAACTTTAAAGAACAGAGACAGTGGGACTGCTTAATCAACCAGTGAGAATTCTTGACATGTATGCAGTCTTCCTTTTACTTCCTGACTCATTGTAACAGATAGAATTGATTTAATCAAAATTAGCTGTAGAGGAATGATGATTACTTGAGTTTCCTTTGATATCTCAGTGTCCACCTAAGAGTTACGTGAACGTGTCTGTGTTATTTATAATAATAAAAATTACATACGATTAGATATATACAACTAGATACAAAGCTGCAAATGTAGCTTAATTACAAGCTGATTTCTTCAAATATAGTCTATGCATAAGGTTTCAATTAATTTTAACTGTTTGGGGAGCTTGAATTTCTGTATTTTTCCCATTGTTAACATCATTCAGGACAAATACTAAGAGAGATACTAAATTTCTTAAAGGATACAAGTTTGAATTAATATTATCAGTTCTCAGAAAATACTCTTTAAATCCAGTATGCAAATGCTGATGTGGGGAGGAGATGCTGTATTTATCATACAGAGCAAAGAGATTGAGTCCATGCTTTAAGTGTAAAACATGGACTCAATCTCTTAGCTACAGAGTTGTGACCAGCACTTCCCTAATACATTATGGGCTTCATCCTGTTCTCCTCACTTACTTAGCATTTACTAATTATTTCAAGTGACATTTTTTGCAGAAATGAGTAGGATTTGGCCATATACATAAAAGCCACTTGGAGTAAATTTGGGAAAACAAGGTACGCTGTTTCAAAAGAGCAATGCTTTTTATAGTAAGTAGTAAAGGATTTGGTAGTTAAATGCATATTTGATATTTTAGTGTTTTAATAAGTAGTCAACCTTTTCGTATGCCAGGCCATAGCAGAAGCGGCTGCTGAGTTAAGAGATTTCAGTGGCGAAGATAGGATTTGTGGGCTCTCGGAGAGTTCTTCACAAACATCGAAGTTGAGCTCAAAGAGTGCTAAAGAAAGGAGAAACAGAAGGAAGAAAAGAAGACAGAGAGAGCTTTCTGGAGGAGAGGACAAGTTGGATGATGAAAAGCTTCCCAAATCTGATTCAGAAGGCAGTATCAGAAGGAAAGGTTTCCGTTTCTCTTTGGAAGGGAATAGACTGACATATGAAAAGCGTTTCGCTTCCCCCCACCAGGTACTGTTATAACTAATGCAGTTGTAATTTTTTAGCACAGTGATCTGTTTGACATGGAGATTGTAGTAATATACAAGGCACAGCATTGTGACTAAACTGCATGATTGTAAAAGAGAGGGATAATTAAGGGAAAGTTTTTGTTACTTAGTAAACCCTGAAAACATTCCCCAAAATAATATCAATAAAACAGCTGTTCAATATCTTGATGTTATGATAATATAAATGTGCACTACTTGCCACTGAAATCTACATTTACTCACAGCTAAAACCTCCTAACCTGTGCT